ATTCAAAGTGCAGAACGTGTATTGCACATACAGCCGTATCAGTCCGTTAACAGGCTGTAACTACTCCGTTAACGGAGTGTACACATCGACTAAGTAAGATTTAGGCGTAATTAATTTAACAATCAACATGTAAATACATCAACTGAGGGTTTTGGTTTGGTCAGATACTCTTTTAATTAAAAGTGTTCTCATAAATCGCCTCCCCTCTTTTGCTTCTTTGTCTTTCATTTAATCAACTTCAATTAAATGAAACGGTCAAAACTTTTTTTCAATGAGCAAATCCAGGTTTCGCGTTTTTAATAAAATTCTGACTCGAATATAATAAGCGCTTATTAAATAAATAATCTTAATAGTGATAAGTTATATCAAATTTTACTATAATATATTAAAAATAATTATTTAATATAATATCTATAATAATTGTCTACCTATCGCAAATTATCATAAGAAAATGAGTATAAACGGTTTAAATAAAATTAAACAATTTGGGTCTTGATTTTTCAAAAAACGAGAAACCTGGATTTGCTCATTGGAAAAAAGTATCGACCAAATGAAACAGAAAATTTACAATAGACAAAGAGCAAAAAAAAAAAAAAAAAACTTTATTGAAGCAAAAATTTTATATAAGCAAATATTTTATACAAACGAAAATTTTATACATTTATTAAATGCGGTATTATTTTAAAGCTTTAAGCAAACATTTAAAACATTTTTGGACATTTGACAACCTTGTAACTTGATTTAAAAATATATAATGCGCTTTATATTCAAAAAGATAAAAATAATGCGCTTTATATATAAAGCGTATTATCTTTATTTAAAGAGAATTCATGACATTTTTTTTATATACAGTTGTTTCTATTTTTATATGTAAAATGCCAAAAGTAGTTCTGTTGTTTATGAGTATTTAGAAAAAGAACCAACTGATAAATGTGGTGAAGTAGTTGCCAATGCAGTTTGTAAAAAGTGTCAAAAAGTGTACAAACTTGCTTAAGGTAAATAAAATTTTCATAAGTTTATAAAAAAGGGTTAATAAAATTTTCATAAAGCTCATAAAATTTATCACTCAAGAAGAGTGATAATTTCATTTTTTCACTATGGACAACTTTGTTTATGTGCTTCAATATTTTTTTTGCTTTCAAGAATCCCTAGATCAAATTATAACAAATGAATTTATAAATAAAAATATAAGAACAGGAATATTTAAAACTGACGTGTCTGATCACTTTCCGATTTTTATCCTATCGCAAAAATGCATATATAATGCCCAAAATGAACGGAAAAAAATAATTAAAACACGTTTAATAACCGACAATTCTATTAGTCATTTTTATAAGCTTCTATCCTGTGTTAACTGGGACACCCTAAAACTAAATCTAAACGCCAATAAAGCGTATGATATTTTCCTAACAGAGTTTCTTAATCTTTATAACAAGGCGTTCCCAGAAGTTACTAAAGTAATCAAAACAAAAACACTTTTAAACCCTTGGATCACGAAGGGCATTCTTAAATCTTCAAAAAAAAAACAACGCTTATATAACAAGTTTCTTAAAAAAAGAACTCTTAAAAATGAAACTACCTATAAAAACTATAAACGGCTATTTGAGTCAATCTTAAAACGCTCAAAGAAACGTTACTATTCTGAACAATTAATAAAGCACAAAAATGATTCTAAAAAAACTTGGCATATTATTAAGGAGGTAATTGGAAAAAAAAGCTTATACAGAAATTTACTTCCTCTAAATCTTAAATTTAATAACAAACAAATTGTAAATAAATCCTTAGTCGCTGAAACACTTAACCAGTTTTTTGTAAATATAGGTCCTACTTTATCATCTAATATAGCAACTACTCAATCACACTTTAGTTCGTACTTAACCTCAACCAATCTTAATGTTATGTCTAATTATAAACTTACAGAAAAAGAATTACTAGACGCAGTCTCTTTATTAAAACCCAATAAAAGTTTAGGATTTGATGATATAAGTAGTAATGTCATTATCAAATCAATAAAACAAATTACAATTCCATTACTACATATTTTTAATTTATCTCTAAAACAAGGCGTTTTTCCAGATAACCTAAAAATTGCAAAAGTAATTCCAGTGTTAAAATCAGGTGATCCTTCCGATGTTACGAATTATAGACCAATCTCAATTCTTTCTTGTTTTTCTAAAATATTAGAGCGGGTTATGTATAATAGACTATATTCTTTTTTAAATGTTAATAATATTCTTTATCATAAACAGTTTGGATTTAAATCTGGTCATTCAACTGATCATGCAATCACTCACCTTGTTCATGATATATTTAAAGGGTTTGATGAAGACAAGTATACCCTAGGTGTATTTATCGATTTAAGTAAAGCTTTTGACACTGTCAATCATCAAATCCTTCTATCCAAACTGAAAAGTTATGGTATAATAAATACTAATTTGTCCTGGTTTGATAGTTACTTGACTAATAGAAAGCAGTTTATTTCATATGATAGCGGAAAAACGGAATATAAGTTAATCACCTGTGGTGTTCCTCAAGGATCAATTTTAGGACCACTTTTATTTCTCGTTTATATTAATGACTTATATAAATTTTCTAACATTTTAAACTTAATTTTGTTTGCAGATGATACAAACTTGTTTTATTCTAGTAAAGATATCAGTAAATTATTTCAAACAGTAAACAAAGAACTTGAAAAATTAACCCAATGGTTCAAATCAAACAAACTATCTTTGAACATCAATAAATCCAAATACACTTTGTTCCATCGTCTTCATAAAACAAGATATTCCATTAAAACTTCCTGATCTTTTTATTGATAACGCATTATTAAAAAGAGAGCAATCAATAAAGTTTTTAGGTGTGGTTCTGGATGAAAATTTAACCTGGAGGGACCACATAGGTCTAATTGAAAATAAAATATCAAAAAATATAGGTGTTTTGTATAAAGCCAAGCAGTTTTTAAATCTATCTTGTTTAAAAAACTTATATTTTTCTTTAATTCATTGCTACTTAAATTATGCAAACGTTGCTTGGTGCAGCACAAACGCAACAAAAGTAAAAAAACTGTTTAGTAAACAAAAACAGGCTATAAGAATAATTACAAACGTAGACCGTTTCTCTCACACTAAAACATTATTTAATAAACTTAATATTTTAAATGTATATAAACTAAACCTTTACCATATTCTTATCTTCATGTTTAAACTTGATAAAAAAATATCACCAATGTTATTTAATTCACTTTTTGAAAAAATAAACCACATATACCCTACCAGATTTTCAAAAAACAATTACATTCAATCCAAAACACATTATTCAGCAACCAAATTCTCAATTGCAAATCGAGGTCCTAAGCTGTGGAATACAATATTAAATAATGAGTTGAAATCTAATTATTCTTTAAACCAGTTTAAAACAAAACTTAAGGAATTACTGATGATACATGAAAATGAATTAAAGTTCTTCTAAAAAGCTTTTTAAACTAGCAAACAAAAACAAAAATTAACCTACTAATTACTCTTTAATATTATATTTAATATTTTAAACAATTGTCTGCTATTGTAAATGTATTTCTTATCTTATAAGTTTTATTATTTGAAATACTAATTACTAAAAATATTGTAAAATTTTATAATTTCAAATTTTATTAAAAAAAGTTATTGTAAATTCTTTTTGTAATATTAATACTTATATATCATCTTATTTTACTAATCAGTTCTTAAATATAAATACTCTTTGAATTACTAAATATTTTAAACGTTATATATTTTATTTTTTACACTTTGTTAAAATATTTTATTTGATGAATATGCATTTTTTTGGGGGGGCTTAATGATAAGATGAATATTGTCTTCTTCAAGCCCCAGTCATGTAAATATTTGTTTTTATAAATTACGAGTGTAAATTATTTTCAATCGGCAAATACAATACTAAAAAAAAAAAAAAAAAGAATATATATTATCTGCTTAATATATAATAATTATTATTATTTGCTATCAAGAATATATATTATCTGTTTTGCAACTATGTCTATGTATTTTAATTTTAATAATGTTTTTTCTGCTTTCAAAAATATATATATCTGTTTTGCAAAACAGTTATGTACTTCAGGCCCGTAGCAACCGGGGGTGGGGGGCAGCAGAACCATTTGCTCCCCCCCCCTCCTCAATAAATTTTCAAATAGATAATTTTGAAGTTAGTTTTTTTTTTAAAAAAAACTATTACAAATTAAGATATAAAAAAAATAAAAAAGGATAGAAAAGACCAAACTTGTTATCCGTATTTTCGGCGTAATTTAATTTAATTTGACAAAAAATTTTTGAGCTACTACTATTTTACCTGCACAGCAGTATTGACCCCCTCCCCTACACAGCAGTATTACCCCCCTATATAATTTTTCTTTGTACGGGTCTGAATTTACTGCAAATTTGCAGTATTTTTAAATTACCAGCCGTTAACGGAAAAAAACATAGTTTTATTCTATGTATTGTAAATTCTGTACTAATTACACTCATTTTAAAAAATTGCTTTGGATTAAACATTTTTGACTATTGGGTGTGTTAAAATATTACCACCACATTCTACTGCAACTTCTAGATACCATTATTATTTTTGTTTATGGTCTGGAATCAAATATTGGTAACTTTTGATATGTAAATTTTTGTCGAATTTAACTTTTCTAATCTAATATAATTATAATATAAATAATCTATTACCTTTTTCTAATCTATTATAATTATTACCTTTTTCTAATGTATTATAATAACAATAAAGTAATACCCTTCCCTAGAGTTGCCAGATGCCCGGCTTTTACGGAGGAGAATACTGTGCCAAACCTGTAAAAATAAATTTTTTTACGGTGTTCTCCTTTTTAAAAACCGGACATCTAGCAACACTTCCCTTATCCCAATATAATCATAACTTTCCTAATTGATAGCAAAAACAATAAGTTTCAACTACAGTAGAGCATACTGCGTTATGCGTAATAAAAAAAAATTTACCTCTGTATTGTTTAGAAACAGTCCTAATGTTGAATTGATATCAAGAAGAATTTCTTTTATATAATGCTTATCAATCATATAAACGCCATACTTTTTTTTTAATTCCTTGTCATAAGATGACGAAACGTTGGAAACATTGGAACGGAATTTTTTGCACTCGACACTACTTTTTGATGCTGAAGTTAATAAATAAATACAAGCGCTGAGAACTTCCATGAATTCTGGATTAGTCAAGTTTTGATTATAATAACTTTTATTAAAAAGCTGCATAAAATCTTCATACGTATAACACTATGAAAAAAGTTAATATTTAAAAATTAAAAAAGCAAAAGTGTAAAAATAAAGTTTTATACATACCAAGTTGCAAAACTCAGACTTTTCATTTTCGCTGCAATTTTTAAAGTTGAGTTTAGTCAAAAGATTGCTAACATCTTTAGGAGTAAAAATGCCTTTAACATCAACGGCTAAATCAATCGAAACATCTTTTATTAAGATTTCTAATTCATTTTTTTGATTCTCGGAGTATTTAGCGTTTGTTACTACGATTAAAGTAATCCATATCCAAATGGCCATTTTCGAACGTAAAAACAAGAAAGTATAAAAAATACATAAAAGTGGCATAAGATTTTGCACACGACCGCAAATCACTTGATTTGAATTGTATTCAATAGCCAAATAACAACTTTGTAAAAGACAAATGTGTACTTAGTTAATTATGCAGTTAGCTTTGCATAAATTATTAAAAATGTAAACTGGATTCTAATTATGCAATAGAACTGCACAAATTATATAACATTTTATTGTTGTAAATTGCCATATTTACAACCATTTGTTACTGTCACTTTAAATAAGCTAATCCCCATCATTTTATTTCAGTTTTTGATCTAAATTATCTTTAATTATCTTTAATTATAATAAAGGTGGAACAGTTAGAGAATAAAAAAATTTGCATTCCATAAAGTAAAAAAAATGATTAAATTATAATTAAGCTTTCCTCCCAAATGTGTTCTCTAGAATAAAATAAATATAAAGCTCAAGATCTTAAAATATTTAACGGGTCTCTGAAAATATTTAACGGGTCTCTGAAAATATTTAACGGGTCTCTGAAAATATCCAAAAAAGTAGTTCAAAAGATGGTCTAGTTCTAGCTAGGTTTCAAATAAAAGATGGTTTAGGTCTAGCTAGGTTTCAAATAAAATGTATTTAAAAAAATAATTTGTATAAAAATTTTAAATATCATTTTGAATATAAAACAAGTTTTTGCTTAAGAATTTATTTTTTATAAATAAAAGTTCCAAATGTTTTTAATTAAAATCCAGAGTATAATCCAAATCAAATCTAATTGGATGTCACCAATCGAGCGAAAAAATAGCTGAGTAACAGTGTTATATGCCGATATCCTTCTATAAGAGACTTATAATCTGTGCAGAGAAACTGACGCTATTTACTTTACTAAAGAAATAAAAATAACAAACTTTGGATTATTTGTTCAAATATATTAAATTTTTTTTTTTTTTAGTCCACTCGCATTGCGTTTTATTTTTGCTACATATTTAAACAATACTTTTTTTTTTTTTTTTGAATATAATATATTGCTGTTGAATAAATATTACTAAAATTGATGGCCGGAGCATTTAATGGCCGGAGCAAAAAGAAGACATTATTTTGTCTTATATGCTAAATAACGTGTTACAATATAAATTTTTTCCAAATTTTTTTCCTAGAGTATATTCAATTATTTTAAGAATAACTACCGCTGTAAAACTACATCTGTGAATTCTACAGATGTAGTTACATCTTTTCAATTATGTTAGATTACAGTTATATCTTTTCAATTATGTTAAACTACAAGATTTATGAAATTATAATGCATTATATTAACCAGATGTAGTTTCTTATATGGCTTTTTCAGATATCTGAAAAAATTAAATAAATATAAATGAATTATTTTAAGCAGATTTAGTTTCATATATGGTTTTTTTTCAGGTGTAGTTACATCTAGAAGAAATTTTTACAGATTTTACTGGATTTGGAGAATAATTAAAAATATGTAGCTACGTCTTCCTAAAGATGTTCTTAAGGGTCATTGAATTTCCAGATGATATTGGACAGATGTTGTTGGAGTAAAAACAAAATACAGATGATCTTGGACAAAAGTGTACAGATGTTGTTGGACTACCCTACAGATGTTGTTGAATATATATAGTAATCTTTTTTCGTGTAAAACAGATGGAAGTTTAACCGTATTGAAATGCTTCTAGAATATGCTTTTAACCTTTTGTTTCGTAAACAAAAAAGAAAACGACATCAAGACTGTACTTAAATATACGCTATATACGTTGACGCAAATACATTTGTTTATAATAATTTTAAAATTTAGTACTTTAACGGTTCGCCAATAATATTCAAGTATAAACATTAAAAGTAGCGACAACGAAACGTCAAATAACAACTTTTTCTTAAATTCAGGGACGGCGCAACAGCCAAGCGAATTATGCAGTCGCATAGGGCGCCAGCATGGCTGGGGCATAGGGCTGGTGTACCTGAAGTTTTTTTTTCTTTCTATTTAAATTTTAAATTTGACTTAAAAAAAATACACTTAAAAGTAATTTTTGGCGTCCATAACTTTTTGAAATAAAGGCCAGTACAGGTTAAAAGTATTAACTTTCATATTGACAGCAGCTCAGGTAGATTGTTCACAGTTGTCAAAGCTAAACTTTCACTTAAATAAGTCGTCAACAAGGATTGGCTATTGTATTCAATATCAAAAAATTCTATATTTTAGTTTTTTGCAAGCTGTTTAGTACTGATGACATATATTTTTCTGGAACAGAGAGGTACTCTGTTTGGCAAAACATGTTAAGCATTTTACGCACGCATGAAAGATCAATCCTTTCACAGAAACCACCATTTCTTATCAAGAACTTGCCAATAGATTGAAAGTTATTTTTAATTAGATTAGAAAAAAGTGAAACAGTTTTTGAAGAAAACAATGGAACCTTTTTAAAACTTGTTAAACACATTTCAAAATTTGGCACTGTTTTTTTTGAACATCTTCGTTGGGTAACTGCCAAAGTAACTCACGTACATTATTTAAACTAAATATTTCAATATGATTTTATTAGTCAACTTTAATGTTACTCACGTACATTATTTAAACTAAATATTTCAATATGATTTTATTAGTCAACTTTAATGTTACTCACGTACATTATTTAAACTAAATATTTCAATATGATTTTATTAGTCAACTTTAATGTTACTCACGTACATTATTTAAACTAAATATTTCAATATGATTTTATTAGTCAACTTTAATGTTACTGATCTTGTAGGAGCTGTATAAAACTTTGTTATTATTTTATAATTCTTAATTGCACTCCTGACGTAAGTCGTAAATAACAAATGGCGCGGTTTGTCGGTATTGTCTAGGCAGTTCCAGTAGAAGAAATAAACTTAAAAGAATATTTTCTTAGATTTGTTCAAATCTCAGATACATATGGAAAAGGGATGACAGCTTGCTTGTAAGAGAACTTTCAACAAAAAAAATATCCTTATAAAATATGCTTGGCAAAGGTTATGATAATGGATCAAACATTAATAAAAAGAATGTAAACGTAAAAAAGGGTCCTTGACCTCATTATTTTTACTATTGTTTTTTTTAGTTGTTGTTGTTATTATTATTTTTATTATTATTATTATTATTATTATTATTATTATTATTATTATTATTATTATTATTATTGTTATTATTATTAATAATGTTATTATTAGTGTTATCATAGTTATTATTATTTTATAATATTCTATAAAATATTTTTTTTTTTAACATCGGAAACTTTGTATGTTTATTGTTATACAATTTGGTGTTCTTATTTTAAAAAATGTTTTAAATATTGTTAAAAACTTAAGTTTTTAACAATAAAAATACTCATATATAAGTTTAAAAAAAAAAAAAAAAAAAAAAAAAAACTCATATATGTGTACTTGCACCAACCTTAGTTTTAAAACAATATTATCAGTACTTGTACCAACCTTAGTTTAAGAAATAACAGTAAATCAGTAAAAAGTGCATTCAAATGTTATGGCAAATGTATCTGCAAAGCATTAAAATTAAAAAATTAATCAAATATTTCGAAAACTCACCTCATCAAAAAAAACCTAAAAAAGCAGCCTAAAAATAAACAATGCAAATTTACAAGTTTATAAAAAACTTTTTATAAAACAAAAAAATGTAAGAAAACAGAAATACTCAAAAGAAAATATGGCAATTTTTTATTTAGTGTTTTTTTCCCACATGTTGGAGAAAGCCATATAAGACATATAATTAGAGCATTCATATCTTTAGTAAAGTAGACATAAAAATGAAAAATAAACAGTTATAGATTTTAATTACTCAAGTAATATAACGACAATAAAAATAAAGTTTAAAACTCAATTTAATAACCACATTAAAAAAAAAAAACTCAAATATAAAGTTTTAAATCAAAAATGAATGACTTTGTTAACTAACAACTTTTAAATTTTTTTAAATTAACTTTATTCTTTCCTTCTTTTATTTTTCTGAACATGAGTTATTTAACTTTCATAAAAATAATGTTAACAAAAATTTACTTAAATTTATTTTAGTTTTAATAAATATTGCCTGACTATTATAGTATTTTTGTCCCAAGAAACCCTTATGGTCTTAAAAAAAAGCAACATTAAATCCTTAGCTGTTAAAACAGCTACAGTGCAGTAAAGAGCTGCATTATTAACAAAAAAGTTTAATTTAGAAAGAGTAATAACTCTTTCAGCAATATTCAGGATATTTTTTTTCTGGATTAGCCCATAGATGAAGTGTATTAACAAACCGTTAAAAACTGTAAAATCTCTGAGTGAAACCAGCTCGGAAATCCGGATGGATGCATCCGGATGGATGCCCTTGAACATTTGCAATACCACATTGATGAGGTTTGTGCTCTCTATGAATCAATTTTTACTACAAAATAAATGTTTTTGAAAAATGTGCCTCTGTGGGATTCGTCCAGAAAATTATAGGTTTCAAATTCGGTGAATTGGTGTAATGTCTTGTTCAAAATTAATTTAGTAAGCAAAATACTACAGATAAAAACTATTAATTTGCAGAGCGCTTAGAAAATAGGGGAAATTCGTGTACTAAGGGCCTCATTGTACGTAGGATCATCCTAATTTATTTAAAAACTATAAATTTCAAAGTAATGCATCTAAGGGATTGCGGTAGTGAGAAAAGTTAGTATTATATTCTGGTCGGTATAAATAACCAGTCACTACCGAAGTTATAATATTGAAATTGAAAGTAAGTTTTTTAAATATCAACACTTTCAAAAGTTCGGTGTTGAACGGATATATTTAAATAGTGTTTGATAGAGTAAACTTAAATTATTGTCACTAACAAGAGAACCAAACACATCTTTTGGTTAGCCCACCTAAAAAGAACTTACTATTTACAGTATTTAAACTCATTAACTTTACAAATACTCCACTTAATTGGCAAAATATCAGTGCAATCAATAAACGTCAATAAAAGATTTTGATGAGAAAAAAAAAATGATTTATTGAGCTCTAATTTATTAAAGAATCAGAAAGAGTATTTTCAAATAGTGTTTACATTTAAGCGAGAAAACTTTAATGAAAGTACAAATCAAATTCTTCATCAATGATCTGCTCGTCTTCTTTAACTGACCACTTCTTAATAACAGCTTTTGAAATGTCTTATTTAATGTAAACAAGTTTTTCAATTGTGCCTGATTTTAACAATGTTCTTTTGCACGTAACAATGTTTCCTGCTTGTGAAAACACTCTCGAATAACGTTGATGATGCTGGAATACACAAAACTTTTTCTGGCTACTCCTGCCAAAAGAGATAATTGAGGAGAGTGAATCTTCGACCAATTTAAAATGTCAAATTTTTTTGGTGAAAAGCCTAGTTGCTTGTACGCTTCCATTTCAGTTTTAAATGGTGATGTTGTAGACGTGCAAAAGTGAGCTAATTCCAGGCTGTTGTGGCTCATCATCTCTTGAAGGAGTGCTTCAGCTGGGGAAAAGTCTTGTTGCTCTTGAGGGGTGCTTGCTGCTGGCAAATGTTGCATCTCTTGATGCAACATTTGCCAGCAGGAAAGTTAAAGCAGTATATGCATCACTACTTCTATTTGACCATGATCCGTTATGAAACCAACAGCATCAACATTTGCTAAATCATTTTTCATAATAATTAAAATTGCTTCTCTGATATTTTGGTTTAAGATGGGTAACCTGCTCCTTGAATATGTGGAAGGTGCTTTAAGATTACCTTCAAGCATTGTAAAACCCATAAGATCTTTGAACCCATCGGAAGCAACATGTGTAAATAGTATTTAACACCCTCAAATATTTCATGATTTCTGCAATGAGCTGTCGCTTATCATTTGAGGAAAATTTGGTTTTTACTTTGCAACAAAATGAAATGTTTTTTTTTCATTTTTTTACCTTCTTCAAAAATCTGGACTTTACTCACGTTTTTATTTGTAGCTTCACCAATTGTCTCCCCTACCAATGCTTCAGTTGTATTTCAGATAATCGCATTTTCAATACTGTTAAAAATGTCTTTAAGGCAGCCTCGAAGATTAAACTTTAATGAAATTCTATTCGACTTCAGATACTCCTGGCTACACTACAGTCACGTGACATACGCACACTTGATCTTATACAAAATACAAAACACACTTTTGTATTACATACATTTACCTGTTAGGCAACAAAACTCCATATAATTTTAGATTATTAGTTGTAAAATATATATACATATTATTAGTTGTAAAACACATATACAAGTCATTGTTACTGTATTGGTATAACTTTATTTAACATTTCTAGATTATCGAGTTGTAATAATTTATTATTTTTTAAGATACACGTTTATTGGACTCCTAGTACTCACGTCTAGCTTACGTCACACCAGTTTAAAAGACTTTCAACTATTTTTATACTGATAACTCTTACTATCAAGACATGCTACTACAGTGGTCACACACGAGTACACCACATTGACTATTTACAGTACACAAACAGCTATAAAAACTTATAACAGTTCACAACTCTCATTGACCCATGTTATACTGTGACAAACCACTTTACTTATGGACACTCATGCCAAAAAATTAATTACTATTGTTTGCAAGTTGTATGAACCCCACTAAATGTCCTCTGGTCTAAGTGTCAATTCAGAAGTCTGTGTCAATTGTCCTGAGGGGATACTCTGAGAATAGTCCTTTTGGGATAACACAATGGGGTACCTTGAAAAGATACTCTAGTGTAGACCCAGAGTGGAACTTCTTTTGGGATACCATTCTCAGATAAAAGCTGGAGATCTTCATGCGTTCATACTGTACCATAAGGCACGAATCCATACTGTATTCGAGACGTTCATGACACACTTATATCTATAAGGTATGTTTACCACCCTAATAATACAGACTACATGATAACTACTTATAAAACGATAAATAAACTTGCAAAGTTTTTGCTAGTTTATTTATAGTTTAGCTGTAAAAATTTTAGTTCAGAATTAAATCAAAATTCAAAAAAAAAAAAAGATTAAACTTATTGAGTATGAAATAAATTTAACCCTGTTTTTTTGAATGTTGCCATTTAACAACACAAACTTTCAATTCAAGCCCTGTTTTATCTTTTTTTTTAATTTTAAGTAAATCTTAAGTTTTGCTACTTCCTACTAGATGGCAACATGTTGAGTTTGAGGATGGCAACAAAAAATAAACTCGCCGATTCGCAATTGTTTTTTGAAAAGGTAAGTCTATTTGCACGCACGTGTGAATAGACTCTTATTATAGTCTATTTGCACTATCTCTTATTATAGTCTATTCGCACTATCTCTTATTATAGTCTATTCGTACTATTTCTTACCCAGTAAGCACATGAACGTTTTTAAAAAACGTTTTTTTAACTAAAAAAAAAAACGTTTTTTAAACGTTCAGAACGGCAATACCTAAAAAACGTTTTTAAAAAAATCGTTTAAAAAACGTTTTAAAAAAAAACGTTTAGAAAACGTTCTTAAATAACCCAAATTAAACCATAAAAAAACGTCTTTTGAACGTTTAAAAAACGTTCATTTTCAGAAAATATTCACAAATCCATAGGTACTATTATTAAATTGTTTGAAAGAACCTATTGTTTAAAAAAGCAAGGAAAATAAAAAACTTATTTAAAAGTTATTTTTAAATTTATTTTCAAAGCAAAAGTTGCCCGCTTTAACGAATCAGTAATTATTGCATCGACGATCGACTCTGTGTATGATTCGTGAGCAGTCGATGCTCCAACTAAAAGAATAAACTATATATTTACAACAGGCAATCTGAACAGTAATAATAGTATGATAGTATAATAATAATATAATAGTATAATAATAATAATAGTAATAAATTTTTAAATTACAAATATATGTTTTAAAAATATATATATATATAATTTCATAATACACACAAATAAAAAGTATATTAAATTTAGTAAATATTTTTTTGAGGTTTAAATATTTTTGTATTTTGTATGACAATGCATATATATATATATATATATATATATATATATATATATATATATATATATATATATATATATATATATATATATATATATATATATATATATATATATATATATATATATATATATAGTATATATATATATAAATATATATATATATATATATATATATATATATATATATATATATATATATATATATATATATATATATATATATATATATGTATATATATATATACAAATATATCAATATATATATATATATATATATATATATATATATATATATTTATATATATATATTTTTGTATTTTGTATGACAATGCATATATATATATATATATATATATATATATATATATATATATATATATATATATATATATATATATATATATATATATATATATATATATATACATATATACAGTAGCGGCATAAAGTCATGACCACAGTTGAAAAACAAGAGAATTTTATTCATTTTTAGCACAATATAAAATAAAACAGCACCACATAGAAATAAAAATGACTCTGCATTGTCAGTAATAAGCGCCACTAATAAAACATAAGAAATTCTGACTAAAAGACTAGTATTTTGTATGCCCTTCATGCGAA